AGGACATACCGTTTTATAATGTATATAAATATCAAATGTTAGCCCAGAAAACAGCCCGCAAACCATATTTGCAAACAATTTCAGTCCTGAATAAGCAATAAGTCATACATTATTTTGCGGGTAAAGCTTAAGGGGTCTTAAAACCTTTGATAACAAATAGCATTAAATTGTGTTTTTATTTGTCAAAAACACTTCTCTATATGAGAGAGACATTTGAAGTGAAAATTCTCTCTCTCTCTCTCTCTCTCTCTCTCTCTCTCTCTCTCTTACGTAACAAATCTTATATTAAAATTGAATTTTTAAGGAATAATACACGAAAAAGTCAGTCTTTTCTCTATTCATAAGATTAGAGGTTTTTTGAGTAACAAAAAGGGAAAATATATTTTTCATTGATTTTTTGCGCAAAACTTTATTCAATTTTTCTTTTTGTCAGAGAAATGGAGTTTTTGTTGTTGAAATCAATTGAAAATAGTCGAGAGAGAGAGAGAGAGAGAGAGAGAGAGAGAGAGATTCTTGAATATATCAAGATTTTCAATCATCTGATCACAAAATATAACTTAAAAAATATATTTCTTAAATATTAAATATATTATATGAATACAGAATTATACAAGTACAGTACGATTACACATATAGCGTATTCTGTATAAAAGTTATAAATATACAGCACTGGGATGTATGGACGTCATTGCCATTCAATGGATAGTGAATTATAAAAACTTTTTATTTCATAGTGACCTCAAACTGATTTCAAAACATATAACTTTTATATCATTTTAAATAAGAGATTGCCAATTTATTTAATAATATTACGTATAATCCGTGACTTGGATTACATTTATAAAAAAAATCAATTTTTTATTAAAAAATAATATTATATATATATACTTCATTAATTATAAATTATATATTCTACTTAATTATACTTGTATTGTATATATTAACGTGTGATTTTTGAAATGACATTGAGCGTGTATTTCTCAATGTAAGGATTACTACAATAAATTAGATAATAATCTCAGTGTTAAGTGCTTTTTTCAAAATTCAAAGTCATTTTGTTTTATAGTTATATATAAAATACATATTTTTGTAACAATTTTTTGGAGGTAAGGGAATGACAGGAAGGCCTGCAAAAACTGGGATAACCCTAACATATACTGAGATTTTTCAAGATTATCTATACATTTATGTGTATTTAATGTGTTACTTATATAATGAAATGAGTTTTCAAACTCGTAAGGAAAATATCCTGATATAAATTGATAATATAATTTTTAATATCAGACAACATACCTGACCCTGAATATAAATGAGTGATTATTTTCCCGCTTTTCTATAAGAAATGATATTACTTTTTTTCAATTAATTTGAAATAAGGATTTATAATTAATTTGCACTTAAATTACTTGTATATTGACAACACACACACATTTTATACTATAAAATTATTTAATCAAGATATATTTTTAAATTATATTTATGTCGCTATGAATACTAATTTAGCATGCAAAAAATTGTTTATTATATTGATATTTTCAATCATAATATATTTGTATGACTTTAAAATATAAGTTATTTAAAAATATATAAAAATATATTTCAAATAAGTATTTATTTTTATTTATTGATAGAGTCGTCATCCAAGTCCTACTACGAGTACCAGGAAGTCAGCGTATCTGGTCTGGAGATATGGCATTTTGGTATGCAGTACATTAAATAATCAACACCAGGGTCAATTCATTGAATAATATAAATAGAAACTAATTAATATCGCATGAGTATTACAACATACATATATGTTAGCCTTAAAATAAAAATAATATTTATATTCCCATTGCGCTATAGTAAACATATTCCGTATACCAGTACCCTATAAATTAATATGTACTGTATATTTCAAATATTTTTATATAGTTTAGATTTCTACTTAAGATGTTGTTGGAATTCTATAGTTTAAAATATATATTTATTTATCATATAACAATATATATAAACAACATTTAAAATACATGATCGCAAAAATTTTATATACATCAAAACTTCAAAACATAAAATATCTGAACTTTTAATTTACTTTTGGGAATACACTCAACTGTATTATATAAAAAAAATAGCTAAACAAATACGAGTGAATCAATTTTGATATTATTTTTTACTTTTTTCAGACAAAATAAATATAATTTAATGCACTTTATATGTGCGCTGCTATCAAATGGTTTCATACAGTAATAAACAAATGAAAAAAAGTTTATTATACACATAAAATTATTATTATGAATGCATGCACACATCTATAGTACACTATAGGGAATAATAGACTATCACAATTTAATAACACATTAATTTGAGTATTTTATTCACATTTGTATGGGAAAAGGGAGTCTCAGTTATGATAACCAAAAGCAGTTTCGCATTGAATTGAAAGGAAACCTAAAGAATATTCTGTAATAAAGCAACAAAAGTGTTGAAAAAATATATGAAATTACAATAAAAGCTTTTTTGTGTGCCTTAAGTGAGAAGTAAATAGTGATAGAAAAATACATAACAAAAAATAAAACATACTTTCAATTATTAATAGATTTGCTTTTTTACTTGTCTCACATCCCATTCCCCTATTTCTAGCCTCGAATCTGATATCTGTGTTCATATCGAAAGAAAAAGGCGAAGCACTGGCCGCTATGGTGGACAATGGGACCCGGGTTATGGTCCAGATATCCATTGGCACCCACAGTGCCATGAGATACGCCAATATAAATAGGACGTCCGTGCTATTTGTATCCATCTCGTTTATTGTACTTATGGTTAGATATAAAATACACATTTAAATTCACTATATATTTAGATATTTATGAAAATATATATTCATTTATGATTAATATATTGTGATATTCTGTGTTTATATGGACTCTATATTATAGAGTATATAATTAGGAATTCCTCATTTAATATGAATACGATTATTGTTTGTGGCAATTTCATATTTGACAATGTATGTGAAGTATAGCATATTTGAGACAAATTCATAATTTTGATATAAATCCTGAATCCCCTGAGGGGTCCACAATATAATAAGCTAATCATATGAACTAATGATATATCAAACCACATAATAAGACAATACTGTACTGTATTTATATGTATAAATATACTAAATAATACTGTAGTACTATATTTAGAAAACTCTAGTATGATATGGTATTAAAAATAATTATTTATATTATTTACATAAAACGAAATATCAATATATTTATGGAAATTTAAATAAACACTAAAATATAAGAGAATAAAAGAAAAACTAAAAAATATAATGTCTTTAGAAATATTAATATTAAATTTATTTTTATAAAGCATTTTATTAATGAATATATTTGATAAATGGCTGTAAATTATTTAGATAATATCGCTGGCCTGGCTCATATTTTATTACGTTCAACGGTTCCGCTATATTCACGCCAAAGATATACTGGCCGTAAGTATTTGTGGTTTTTATTTATTTTGCAGATCTTTATAGATATTGTGAATGATTTATATTGTATGGCAGTTATATATTTAATATTT